GTTTTCTATTGTGATTGAATAGAATATTGGGATTGTCATTTTCATATTGAAAATATTATTTGGAATATATTAACATTCATTTATTTGTCTAATTTCATATACAATAACTATGGAAAAAATATTTTCAACGAAAATCTCCAGTTTCCATTTTCGGGTGAAGAGCAAAATATTATTCAAATGAGGGTTCAAGTAGAAAAAGATGTTCGCGAGAAACAATGAAAATCAAATCCATCAATGGATAGTTTGATTCCAATTGAATATTTGTCAAGACAAATGATATGGATTTTGGTTGGTTCAAATATTTATTTTCTGAACCCAGATGTAAGATTGTGAAAAGTCTGTTTTTAGTAGATTTGAATGTTTAGGGGCATGTCTGTTTCGATTCAGTTTTTTCACATAAATCTGCAAATCATAATATGCAGTTCTCACTACTGAGTTTTAATATAAGATTAAACATTCTTGTCAAATGCTACATGTACATCAATTTTTACATTAAATTTGACATCATTTGACATGGCTTCCATCGTAAACATTGATTTTTACAACATTCTTTTGCACCACTGACCAAATTTTGACGCATAGGAGGGAATGTCGTCCTCAATGTCAACAAAAATATAAATCTAGATTTATTCTCTCATCAAACATTACATAGAAATAGAATCTATTTTCAATAAGAAATACTCTATATTAAAGTGAAGATCATTCTCATATCATGTGATACGTGATGTGAGGTAAAATGATAATGTCAATTAAAATAAATGGATATGAGAATCACTTTATTGGCTTTATCATTAGTCCATATTTGAATCCCATTATTTCAAACTCATTTTGAACAATATGTTATCCCTATAAAATAATTTTGAACATAAGTATTTTTTTTACTTTTTTACCATATATTTTCCCCCAAAAAAATCACTTTTTTACAAATATATTCTCAAAATTTGGGCTTGGGGACCAAATGTCACTTCAAATTGTGATTATTCTCACTATTCTTCAAGTTTAACTATTAAGAAGGTTATAAACATATTTATTTAAACAGAAAACTAAAAGAAAAAGTAATGAATTGAATTTAGATAAACCCCATATCATATGTAATTATTGAAAGAGCAATTCAGTGCAATTATAAAAGGGGACCTATCCACGATTACACTTGATCATATTTCAAAAACCTTCCTCCATCACCCCTCCCCCACTGCGAAAACACTCAATATTTGCCTACCATCCAAATTTTGCTTTATAAATATATTTATCCCTTAAATATAATCTCTCAAACAAACTTCCTCTTGTGCATAAAATCGGAGAAGATGTACAAGAAATCATTCCACCGGATGAATGACTCAGGCGAGCTCAACGTGTTCGAGGCTGCACGATATTTCTCTGGTGGCACCAATGAAGTTCCAAGTGCAACTTTTGCACATAAGATCATCGGAGAAGACAGGCAGTCTGCAGTGAAAACTGCTCGAAGAATGAGCCTAGACGTGCCCCCGACGATGATGTTGAGACATTCACTTCCTTCGCAAATGGAAAAGAAAATGAAAGAGAAAAAGCATAAAAAGCCAAGTTCTCCCGGTGGCAAACTTGCCCATTTCTTGAATTCTCTTTTCAATCAAACATCTTCCAAGAAGAAATCTAAATCTTCTACACAGTCTGTTAAGGAAAGTGAGGAAGAAAGCCCTGGTTGCAGAAGGAAAAGAAGAAGCAGCATTAGTTTTTTTCACACAATTACAAATACTGCTGATTCTAAGTCCATTTATTCATCTTCAAGTTCTGGTTTTCGAACACCTCCACCTGCACCTTATACGCGTAATCCCACAAAAAGACACACAGATTACGCTTTTTCCGATGACAAAATCAGATTCAGCAATGGAATATTTGAGAAGAACAAGAATTCTAATCTTGGATATTCAAATAGGAGTAGGAAAAACTGGTCTGAACGTCAGTTTCCATCAGAAGAGAAAGAATTTAGAAAGATCAATGATTTTGACGATGGTGCGGATAGTGATTCAAGCTCTGATCTGTTTGATTTACCAAATCATGATTTATATTACTACTCAAGTGGGCTACCTGTTTATGAAACAACCCATATGAACAGCATCAAGAGAGGTCCGCCAATTTCCGGTGGCGCAATATAATTTATTAATCCTATTAATAGTGTAACATTTGCTTTAATCGTACTAATGCTTGGAATTGAGAGAAAATTTTTTGATTTTTGTAAAGATCAGTTTATAGATTCTGTTTTTTTCTTCTTTTAAAATTTCATGTAACCTTTTTCCTGTATGTACAGTTTAGATTGTTTGTCTGCCTCAACTTTTTCTGTCCTTGCTCTTGAAGATTTCGGTTATGTATCAAGGATCTTTCAATGAGTTGATTTGTACTAAAAAGATAGAGCTTTGATTAGAAGATTTGATTAGGATCAACGTACATATCCATTGGAGTGAGAAGTACAAGGCTCTCCGTAAGAAATCGAGAATCCGCAAAGACCTAAGGTTCCGATCAGATGTATAATTTAACAGAAAACCTAATATATTGTTACAATAACTAACCATGCCATATTTTTTTATAAATATGGTATTGACTACTGAATTTCTACAATTTATTATGAAGTAAAAAAGCTTATAGTCACACTCTTATAACGAAATTTCATCTTAGTTATGAAATTTTATTCGGTTCTAAAATTGTCTTTGAAGTATGTTTATTTGTTTCAATTTGATCCCTCAATCTTTGGTTTTTCTAATGGATTTTCCCACATAAAACATATATGCTGATGCTAAGTCGAATTATCATTTCAATGTTGGATATGTTCAAAGAATAAACATGCATTTCACCTATTTAATCTAGTTTCATACATTTAAGAGCTTGAGATACATGTATTGATAATTAATATGTAACTAGTTAAGTATGGTTCATGTATGCAAATCCATAAATCATCTACATATCTAGTAGCTCATTTCAAGAACTCTATTGTAGTCATATTGAATGATCCAAACTATGCATCAAACTTACGTCTTAAAAGAGGCGTCCTTGTCTTTTCTCCATTGATTGTCGAATAAAATACTATGTTCCTCTATCAATCTACTTTCTTTCTTTTAATTGTGTTTTCTATGTTTGATCATATACTTCATATTGTGTCATATTCTTCTCTCTGTTTCATAACAAGTGGTATTAGAGCAAGATTATGAATTTATTTGAGGTTTCTGTTATTGATGACAGCCATGAAGTTTGAAATTTCGTTTTGGATCACAATACATGATTGTCGTTGTGGCAAGTGAAAATGCGAGTTGCATTGGCACAGATGAATTTAGATGATGCGTTGTTGGGATTTGACAAGATGCCCACAACTTGAATAATAGAGGATAAACAACATAAGGATCGAAAGACACTTTCATAAATTCATCTTTGTCTCTATAATGTCAAACGTTTTGAAGGAGAATATAGCAGCTGCATTGTGGTCAAAGCTGAAGCAATTGTGCATGACTAAAAGTCTGACAAACAAATTGCATTTGAAGTAGAGGTTGTATTCTCATCGCATGGCAAAAGGCAAATCCTTGGAAGATTATCTGGCTGTGTTCAAAGAGATCATTGCTGATTTGGAGACGTTAGAGCTAAAGTATGATGAAGAAAATTTGGCCTTAATCTTATTGTGTTCGCTGCTTGCTTCATTTACTTTGTTTAGGGACACGATTTTGTATAGTCATAATACTCTCACCATTAAAGATATATATATGATGCCCTATTCTCAAAGGAGAAGGTGAAGCATGTGGTTGAATCTAAATCCATATATGGAGAAGCTCTTGTGGTTTATGGTGATTGGAGAAGGGGTAAGTCGAGTTTCAGTAATTAGGTTTGTTTTTATTTCTAGAAAAAATAACATATCAAGAGAGATTGCATAAAGTTGCAAAGTAAAGGTAATTCAACTACAAATTCTGGGAAGCAATCAAACACTTCGGACGAAACCAACATAGCTGAGGAATATTTGAGTGATGGAAATCTCTTGGTGATTTTTGACGTTTAATCAAAACCTGCCGAGGGTGGATTTTGGATATAGGTTGTGCATTCCATATGTATCCTAATCGAGATTTGTTTGAAAAATATGAAAGAGTGACGCAAGGTGTCGTTGTAATGTGTAACAATAAATCTTATCACATAGCTGGTATTAGGAAAGTCAGATTGAAGCTGATAAATGGAACATGTAGAACACTTGATTACATTCGACATTTTCCATTTCTTAAGAAGAATCTCATTTCATTGAGTACTCTTGATTCGAAGGAGCACATGTTCTCTGGAGAAAGTAGAGTCTTCAAGGTCCAAAAGAGTATTTGTGTTGTATTGTAAGGACGAAAAAGGTACAAACTAGACATCTTTAAGGTCGGACACAATCGGTGAAGAAAAGTCAGCACAGATTTAGAACTGTGGTGGATATTCAATTTGGTACAGTACCTTTGGGATTCAACTCTAAGTCCATATTGAAGAATACTACTCAGTCGAGTTTGGAGTAATAATAATTTCACTTTATCACCATTGTCCACAGTTCTATTATATTCGACTGCTAGGGATAGATCCATTGGAGATAAGTACTGAGACGCTGATTTGGTTGCACGTGCTTTTAGGATTTTAGAAGGTGTTGAAACTAGCAATAGACCTTTGGTAAAAGATTAAGAGTTGATTCTGCTATAAGGTGTACTTCGACTCTATTTGGTAATTTCTAAATTCTTTGTGAATTTTTTTGGGAACCCGGTGGTTGGGTTCCCGTATCCGTGTTGGATACTGTGGAAGAAGAAAAGTATTTTTGTGTGATTGGAGAAGTTTGGTTCGCGTTGAAGAGTTCCGTTGTTTCATCGTAGACGAACTTGTTTTTTCAGGTAAAGAAGTTTTAGAACTTCATTCATTACACTAAAATTTGGTTCAAGGGGGAATTATTGTAGTTCGACCCAAATTCTAATAGGTATTAGAGTTTTAGTTGAAGTGGTATTGAAGATATCAGAGTTATAAAGTGGGAAGAAAAGTCATCACACTTTCGCTAGCCTACTGTTAGCTAGCTGCTCGAGAAGTAGACGAGCTTTTGGAGCAGGAAGCTACGCCTGCCTGTTGTCTAGCTCTCACTCGAGTGGCAGGGCAGTCACCCGCCTAGTGCTAGACGTAGCTCAAGCGATAACGTCGTATGGGATTTTCTCCTTTTGTGGGGTTCAAATGTATTTTGACTTAATTTCCATCTTTTAAGTTACTTCTAGGGTTTTTGAAAAGTCCCCATAAATAGTAAACACTTTGTTCAGTTTAGAATTGTTGAGATTGCTATAACAATATTATTTATTCCATTGGTTGTCGAATCAAATACTCGATTCCTCTATCAATCTATTTTCTTGTTTTCTATGTGCGATCATATACTTCATAATATAGTGTCATATTCGTCTTCCCGTTTCATAACAATTATATTGTTTTTAAAAAAATTACACTTAAAATTTTGACCCTACAATACAAAAGGTCTGGGTCCGCCTTGCACGTCCTTTTTTTATCGGTAAATGTTAATTATATTGTACAGATACTGTGGGCATACCCGAGCAATACAAAAATAAGCAAAATACAGTTACATAGGGCATTCCTGGGCAAAAGCAAATATCAAATGAAACACAATCGAGACAATCTATAAACCCATGGCTAAAGACTCAAAATGAACTAAAACATACGGGTACAAGGAGAACATGACCTTGTACACGTGTGTTTTAATTCGTCTTACAATGTTATCAACTAATGGTTGAAGATTCTCAAATACCTTTTTGTTCGTGCCATCCATATGTGGTAAACTGTGCTAGCTAGAGCAATCCGTTTGACTTTACATTGCCAAGAAGTCCCATGGCCCTCTTTTTTGATCCATTTCAACGAACTAGACAACGTAGCCGCCTTGCACATCTTAGTTATAGGAAGTATGGTTCCTAAAGTGACATTGGTTTGCTAGGATATGACAGTGGGTTGCACAGGATTCGAACCTGGAAGTAATTGGATATAGTAGATAATGACTTATTTTTTCTATCTTTCGACCTAGGTTCTTTAAAAGCAAGTCAGATTTATTTTGTTTTTCTTTTTATCTTATGTGATCTTCCGAGGTGTCGTAAGTTCTTGTTATAATGCAAACTGATAGGACAAAATTCTAAATTCTCTATTTCCAAAGTAAATACCAAACAATTTTTTAGTTCAAGAAACGATTATTGATTTTTATATGATTTTATCTTGCGGTTAGTACATTATTATCTGCATCCATGAATCAAATAAATTGTCCAGCTTTCTGCGACTCCAAATTGGAATTTCAGGCAAAAGTTTGAAGCGAACAAATGCAGATAATTTATGTGCTTTAACCCTTGACCTACCTTCATGGACAGAGACAAGAAGACCCTTTTTTCTCTAAGAAAACACCATCAAAGCTTAGACGAATTTATAGGCCTCCACCTAATACCCCATGAAGAGTTTTGATTCCCCAAACTAGCAAGATTACAATTGAGTAGAGGAGACGAAGACGGTAGCTAGAGTCGCTACAATAATGTGTGCAAAGTGACAAGTACTGGTATGATGAAGTGAGTCATCCCTACCCAGTGACCTAATGGGCCAAATTCCTGTGGATAATTTTAGGGGTTTATATAGACCTCCAAATTAATGTGGGCTTCCATGGACATAATTTGTGTGGCACATGATTTTACCAGGTCAAATCCAAATGTTCCTCAGATAACATAAATCCCATGCAAGCTATCAAGATCACTGTCTTTTGTGTTGATGATTTGATTGGGGCCGGATGACAACTTGAATAGAAAGAACAATCGCTAACTATTGATATATTTGAACCTGGGGAAACAATTTTATTGCGCTAGCAGTGTTTGGAGTCTTGTTATCAAGTGTAACTTGTATTAGATAAGTTTTGATATTGTCGAATACAGCTCCAATAATAGTTAAGGTATGTATTGATATCGTTGAATTTTGCAAGAATAACGTTACTCTAAGTTGATGCGAGTATTCATAGAGTCAAATTCAATTAAAGCATCACTACTTTTAGTATTAGCACAAATACTCATATCAATCACATACAACATTATTACTCTTATTTGATTTAAGCATTGAGATAGTCTATTTTGACAAAGTTACCCTTGACGATGTACATATTCCTAATTATAGTCTATAAAAAAAAACATTATTTTTAGTCGTTTTTAGCTATTCATAGAGTCTAATATGACCCCAAATGGAACTAGTTTTACAAAAATAATATTACTCATAATCGATCATGTAATAATCCAATTTGATCCCCCAATAATACTACCAGACATTGCTAGCTATAATGAGAGATGATGAAAAAC